AGTCCCAGTACTGTAGAACATTTCTGTTACAATAGGTTATAATAGCTACAGTCCCAGTAGAACAGTGCAGTTACAATAGGAGCTACAGTCAGGGTAGAACAATTCAGATACATTAGGGTCCACTGACAGTACTACAAAAGGACCCACTGAAGTATTAGAGGACTCAAATCTCCATGAATTCTCAACTGCAGTATGTAATCAAACCTTTAGACACTGAAAGAGATGGAAAACATATCCATGACTGATAAATAAAATCAACACTCCAATACAGATGAAAGAACCAGCTGGTTTAATTCTACAACAGATCTGCCCTGATGAGAAATTACTATCTGTGTCTCCCCAGTGAGTGATGTCTATAGTCTGCAGACTCCAGAACCCCGGAGCAGAGCAGAGCAGAGCTTTTAGACTGTGAGTCTGTTGTCACTGAGATCTTCTAGTGACATATCTGGAGCTCTGACACACAGCAGAGAGACACCAAAACACTCTGTGACTAATATACACTCACACACTGATACACACTCAGAAAGACTAATACACACCATATTACACATACATTGATACCATTCCATATGGGGAGTAAGGAAATGGTGAAAATCAGGATTTGACCGAGCGGTTTAGTCAAAAAATGAAATAATTATTCAACTTGTAAGTGATTTCTAGCAATATACCCAAGTGGCTGGTATAATTAGAGGCATGTGTATTCTTTGTCCTCTGACACAGCTTTGTTGAGAGGAGTAATAATCCAGGCACACTTGGTTAAAACAAATATTTATTACAATGACAAAAGACACAAACTACACTACACACAACAAAACATACAGCACACACGCTGCTGTACGTACAGTATTTAAAAAAAAAGCGTTTCACAGGCCTAACATTCTCATCACCCAGAAAGCCCCAGACTGCTACTAAACATTAAACTTTTAATATGCCTACAGAAGCCACATAAGAGATGAGTTATCTTCTAACTAAATACAAAGCAACCTGCAGTTAAATCTCTCTCTCATTGCACCCTGGAAGCCACCAAATTAACGGGAGCCTATAACCCTATCCATAAACATGCACCGTAAGCAAAAAAGATGTTTCTTATTGAAGTATCCTTTACCCAGGAAACCCAAGTTCCCTAAAAACACAGAATAGCGTGCTCTCTCTAACAAGGTTCAAACTCTCAGCTCCAGTCAGGTTTGGTTTGGATGATCATGAAATAGGGGCTCTTGCCTGGCGCAAGTTTCAAGTCCCAACTCCTGCGGACTCCTCTATCATCTCCTTGTTTCTCCCCCCCTTTTTTCTGTGATCTTAATGCCATCTTATATTGTGTTCTATACTGCTCCTTGACAATCGTTAATCCAGCCCTTACCTAGGTACTAAGGTAAATTTTAAAATTGTTTCTACTCCAGACCTCAGCAAACATCCTCTCTACTTTGAAGTTAGAAGTGTTTATTGTTCCAAGTGTC